ATAACGGCCAAAACATTTGGTCATAACGGCCAAACATTTTTAATTTAACGAAAAACAATATATTTGAGTAAATATAACTTACCTTTGAATTTGATAAAAAAAAACAACTGACTATTAATCATTTGACAAAAATAGCAATTCATTCATCGGATAATCATTTGAACATGGTTTCAACTAATTATCCTATCCAATTTAAATACTCTTTGATAATCTCTTTGAAGATGGCTACATGGGATTAGTGGTGATTAGTATTAACACTTTGGCTTCACCAGCGAATATGTAGCCTATAAATGACCATCACAGATGTATCTATTCATCACTACCCCTTTACCAGGAACAAGATATGGCTGCTTAAATTCCAACTAATAATAAATGTGTCACCTGTAGGAAAACCGTCCAAAAGAATCAACATGCTATCGATTGTGATATTTGCAAGAACTGGACACACCGATCTTGCAACACCCGCGTTTCCAAATAAGATTACATGCAGATTTTAAACTCAGAAACTGATTTCAGCTTTACCTGCAGCGCATGCCGTATACCAGTTGGTAATTTTTCACTTAAAAAAATGCAACTTTAGATTCCATCTCATCAGAAACGTAAGTATGTTCAAATAATTTTTAAGTCAAAATGGAAAAATGACTCCTTATTAATATTTTTCAAACATACACAAGCAGGACTTATCTCATTATTATAATATTTTTCAGAAATACAGATACGGTACTTGCAGACACTTCCAATATTGTTACACCAACAACAAATATATCTTTCCATGAGGATGTCTTTGAAAGATCAATGGAGGAAGATATGGTGTGTGAACCAAGTTCAGTTACAACTGTACCAGAGTTTACAGTGGTATTTAGTGGGTCACAGAAAGGAAAAAACAAGTTAGTGGATGCTAATGGATACACCTATGTCAAGAAATCTTCGACTGAGAGGAAGGTTTATTGGCGCTGTAGCATACGGACAGCAAAACATTGATGTGGTGTTACGGTAATACTAACAATGTGCCCGGAAAAATTTGTAACTGGAAAGATTGCCCATAGCCATCCCAGCCAACCAGGAAAATTACATGCTGTAATTCAAAGAAAAGAGGTGTCAACTAATTAATCAACTGATTGGATAATCCCTAATTATATACTTCATATACTACCTCTGATTAGGTAATATATGAGATAAACATTAATCATATATTTTTTATGAAATAAAGGTAAAAGGCGTGGCCATCTCCAATCTATTCCGACCAGCCAATAAAATTCTACAAGAAGATCAGCCAATTTACAGTCGAGAAAATCCAGAGAACTTGATAAAAGCAGCCAATAGAATAAGAGAAAAAACAAGACCCAAAGACCCAAGAGACTTAGATTTTATTGTAAGTAAGTTATTTATTTTGTTATTTTATCGTGTTAAAAGTTATAATTACAAATTACAATATTTTTTAGGTAATTGAAGATGCAATACCCAAAAGACTTAGATGTTATTGTGTTATAATTCCAAATTATGATATTTTTTAGGTAAATGAAGATGCAATACCAGATGATTTTTTGCATGCTGATGTAACAGTGAAAGGGGAAAGGCACTTGATATTTTCTACAACTCGACAATTAGATTTGCTACCTAAATCCAGTCAATGGTTTGTAGATGGGACTTTTAAGATTGTAAAAGATAGGTTGCCAGGCAACGAAACATACGCCCACAGCAGCTATATCGTCCGGGCAGTCAACAAGAGTTGTCGCATATTTTTACTTGAAATGAAACATTTATAATACATTAAAATCTGATTAAGAGCAACAACTCAGAAAACCATTAGAATTTGTTTGTTTTTTATAAAGTTCTGCCCCATGCTAACATTTAGTATACGAAACTTTTAACATCACGGATTTAGCTGTTTAAGTCATAAAGATTCATTGAAAATCAATAGGCTTCTTCGTCTCATGACCTTAAACACTGTGTATAAATTTAACGTCAATCGGATATTAACTTTAGCCTCTAGAGCGTCCACAAGATTTTTCAAAGTCATCAAGGGCCATAACTCTGGCAGTAATTATCGAGAATTGCTGAAAATCAATAGGCTTCTTTGTGTGATGGCCTCAAACACTGTATAATGATAAAGTCAATCGGAGCTTAACTTTAGCCTCTAGAGCGTCCACAAGATTTTTCAAAGTGATCAAGGGCCATAACTCTGGCAGTAATTATTGGAAATCACTGAACACCTATAGGCTTCTTCGTCTCATGACCTTAAACACTGAGTATAAATTTAAATTCAATCGGATATTACCTTTAGCCCCTAGAGCGTCCACAAGATTTTTCAAAGTGATCAAGGGCCATAACTCTGGCAATAATTATCAGAAATTGCTGAAAATAATTAGGCTTCTTCATCACATGACCTTAAACACTGTGTATAAATTTAAAGTCAATTGGATATTAACTTTAGCCTCTAGAGCGTCCACAAGATTTTTCAAAGTGATCAAGGGACATAACTCTGGCAGTATTTATCGGAAATCGCTGAAAATAATTAGGTTTTTTCGTCTCATGACCTTAAACACTGTGTATAAATTTAAAGTCAATTGGATATCAAAGTTGCAATTTCATATTTTTACGTTATATTTTTAAAATTTATTTAAATAAAGCCTTAAAATAGATGGTATCTATAAACAGTCCTACCTTGTTAAAGAATAATCCTATTAATCCTATAATTCACTATTGCCAGTTGAGAAATTGGCAAAAATATCATTTTCCTCTTCAAATTCAAATGTTTGAGGATAGCTAATCCATGGTGGAGAATAGAAAACAAGGGAGGTAATTGTGTTATTATTTCCAGTGTAAATGAGTTTTAAGTGTGAGAGTGTGAGAATGACACCTATGACCGTATAATAGTGAGTTGACAACCTATTGAGCAAAAAACATAGAAATAATTATGTTATGACTTTCTTTAACTTCTTTAACTTTGACCTCTAGAGCGTCCACAAGATTTTTTCAAGTGATCAAGGGCCATAACTCGAAATCGCTGAAAATCAATAGGTTTCTTTGTCTCATGACCTTAAACACTGTGTATAAATTTAAAGTCAATTGGATATTAACTTTAGCCTCTAGCGTCCGGACGGACGGTCAGGGCGACAACAATATACGACCACATTTCAATGTGGGCGTATAAAAAACCATTTTATCAACTTGTATCCATACATAGTTTTGTGAAATCAGGTAGTCAAATGAAAATGGTGTCCCTTTGCAGCTATATTCTAATGTCAAGAAAAAGGAAAATAGATTACATAAAAGTATTTAGAAAATTGGTGGAATTGTTACTGGAAGAACCGAATGTTAAGTGTGCCACAATGGACTTTGAAGCGGCAACATGGAGGGCATTTGAAAAAGTACTGCGGGACGTGAAAGTGAAAGGGTGCCTTTTTCACTTTACCCAAGCTATTTGGAGACGGTGTCAAGAGCTTGGTTTGCAGGTAACTTGATTACCTTATAATGACAGCATTTTGATCACTTAGAGGAAGTAATTTAATTTATTTTCATAGAAAGCGTACTGAACACACAAAGTCACATCATTTTGTAATTTGTTTTATGATTTATTTTCAGAAAAAGTACAGGACACACAAAGGCACATCAGAGTTTATAAGGAAATTAATGAGCCTGCCATTTCTACCAAAATACCACATACTTGAAGTCTTCCAGCAACTAAAAGCCAAGACTACATGCCCAGATTTACTAGAATTAACAGAGTATGTCCAGGGACAATGGATTCACCACTCCATTTTTAAAATTGTATCCTGGTCCGTATTCAACCAGACCATATGAACTAATAACCACGTTGAAGGTGGGTATCTTTGACATGAAATTATTTATGCCAGTAATTGAAATAATTAGTTTAATATTTAATTTAATATCCCCAATAAAAATATCTTTTTAATATACTGTACTAAATAAATAGGTTGGCACAGGAGAATCAATAACAAGGCTGGAGAGCAGAAGTTAGGGCTTTACAAATTGATAAATTTTCTGTTTGATGAGGCCCAGCTTCTGGCGCTCCAATCTGCTTTGATATTTGAGGGGAAACTACGTCGGTATTTGATAAAAAATAGAACCGATAGACATGATGAAATTTTTAATTCCTGGAAGGAATGCAAAGAAGGCAATATTAGTGTGTCTATATCTGCTACGTGTATGTACAAGAGTACATGGTCCGGTCCAGTAGTTTAATCAAGATATATTGACCAAATATTTATTAAATTTTGTAGTAGTTTAAATCAAGATATATTTTGTATGTTTTACATCTATATTATATTTTGTATGTTTTACATCTATATTATATTTTGTATGTTTTACGTATTTATGTTAAATCTTTTTGACGTATTAAATGTTTTGTTGTATTAAATTAATGTTTATAAAATGCATGTATCTATATCTATATGTTTTTGTTAATAAATATCATTTCCTACATGTAAAAGATTTTTTGTTTTTAGTGGGACCGTTATGAACAAATTTCTTGGCCGTTTCGACCAACATTTAGGGCCGTTATGACCAAAATTTTTGGCCGTTATGGTTTAGGGCCGTTATGTCTATAACCCAATAATTATCAACAATTCATTTTATTGAATTCTGTTTCTTGAGTATTTTATCATCACACTGATAATCGTAGGTAACAAAGTGTCAACTTCATGGAATGACCCAGATATTAAAACCAAGAAACAAAGAGAGAAAAATGGGTTTTAACAACCACTTGACACAAACTAGGTCATTATGGGACTGACATGGCTTAATTTCATTTCAATAATTCCCTTATATGTAGGGGTCTTTAGCAGTGGGAAGAAACCAAAGGACCTGGAGAAAACCCACAAGGTTGGACAGGCGACCCTGCTGCTTGTCACGTACAAGCGAGCCACCTAACCTTCCTTCAAACCAAGAAAGTGAGTGGCAAGAAATACAGAAAACATTAATGAGTTGGCACTGGTACAAAAATTTTACACACTAAAAGAAAATGTTTGTTTGCATACTTGGTTCTCCAATCGATTCTTCAAACTTAGGAGCTTTTTTGCTCATTTTTAAATCTGCATGAGGATCATCTTGAAAGTTATCCGATTCTAAAGCTTCAAGAGCTTTTCTTTGTCTTCTTTTACGAGCAGCTTCATCCAAAACTCTTTTCTGTTGCGATTCTTTGATTCTCCCTGAAAATATAACCCGGATATAATATAGTTGAATTTTTCCAATACATATTGTGCATGACTAAATGCTTTGTCATGGTTCACATTCACTTATGAGAACAAACAAATACATGTACGTAACGAAAAATATTTAGAAGATTAGTTATACACTTGATGTAAAATACAAGTAGGGGTTTTTGGCACATCAAGGTCATTTTTGTTACTGCAAGAAAATGAAACTATATAAATCTTTTTTTTTTAAATCATGTTCATTCTTTACAAATATACTGAGCACCATGGAAAACGCATCACTATTTTTTCCCAAATATTTTATTACTAGGTGGTTTTGTATGTATAATATTATGCAATACTATGAACTATTGTTTCACACAATGCTCCCATACGCAAAAAATATCGGCCTGTGTGCAAAAAAAAAAATTGCATGAGATGCACATGAAAACCCAATATTCACATGCAGCATTGTGTGTGAGCCCTTTAAAAGCATGTCTTCAACTTAATCTGCAGTACATGAACTGTGAAACGTCAATCTGTCGTAATTTGTTGTTGGACGTGTGAAAGAATCGAGCTAGAGATGCCGAGACTAACTGAAAATCAACGGAATGAAGCCATGGGAATGTCCAGGGCTGGCATGTCTACACGTGCTATTGCCAGACACTTCAATTGTCATCAGTCCACTATTGTAAGGTTGGTGGAACGTGTTCGAGTTACTGGATCAACACGTGACCATCAACGTCCTGGTCCACAACGCGTTACAACCCAGGCTCAAGACCGCTACATCCAGGTCACTCATCTGCGTGACAAATTCTGCCTAGCGACTCGAACAGGTGCAGCAGTCGTCGGAAAACAAGGACCAGTAAGTGCCAACACCGTAAGACGTCGTCTAAGAGAAGTAGGACTCCGTGCACGACGACCTTATGTTGGAGCTATCCTCAGGGATCATCACCGTCAGCGGCGTTTGATATGGGCTCAAGGACACCAGACATGGAGAAAAGTAGACTGGCAAAGTGTGCTCTTCAGTGATGAGAGTAAGGTTGCAACGATACGGAAAAAAAGTATCGCTATATATCATGATATTGTTAAAATAAATTATCGCGATACCATGGATTATCGTCTGTGGTAAATTATCGTGATAATTAGAATTATTGTGGTTCAAAAATTCATTATCGTGATAATTACCGATGTATAAAAAAAACTGTGACTTTTTTTCCTGTGTTTTTTTTACCTAGGCAAATTTGTGACTTTTTTCCTGTGACTTTTTTTCCGCGCACCGCAATTCATTTTAATTCTATTCTAATCAGCTGGATTAGTACGCAAATGATAATAATACCATATGAAATGATAAGTTTGACGTATTTCTGCCAGGAGTTTTAATTTCCTTCTACTTCTAACACACTTTACACGTGGTCACGTCCTTGTCATTTGTTTTATTCCAAACCAAAATGTTCCCACACCACAGAAGATGTGTTCTTTTTCGTTGTCAGCAGTTGCGGTTTCGAACTATCACCGGGAACATTGGCATTTTCTATCTCGAATGCATCATTTGCCATTTTATTTAAAGAATAAAGGAAATATTATCCAGGTGGCTTTTCTATGTACATTATCAATGGAATTTTCAACGGACTGGGTAATCAATGATAAACCACCACTTCGTTGCTATGGCGACGTATATTGTCGCGTGCTGTTTAACTGTCGGGAATCCTTACATAAATATTGTGGATGCTTTCTTTTTGGGGGGTATATGGGACCAGCTATATCAAGCCGTAGCCTACACGTGTATACTTATGATTAATACTTAATTATTATTCAGTGAAATGTAGTCGACTTTAAACATGAGGCGGCCTATTGTCAGTCAGTGACAGTCGACCCATTGCGTTAAAAACCGTTGTCTGTTGTTGTGCAATATGGTCATGGACAAGATCTTGTTCGTATATATCGGCGCTTGTTGAAATCTGATTTCTTCTCCATTTTTCAAGTATTTTGAACGGATTTTACGTGACTATGATATAAAATATAAAAATTATCGCGATATATCGTGATAAGGCGATATTTGATATTTCAGACGATAATTTTATCGTCTGACCTAATTATCGCGATATATCGCCATCCCCGGGGTATCGCTGTATCCTTAGATGAGAGTCGCTTTCATCTTTATCACGCTGATGGCCGTCAACGTGTGTGGAGACATCTTGGGGAACGTCTTGCAGACTGCTGCATCTTCGAAACGAATCGATGGGGTGGGGGAGTGTAATGGTGTGGGGAGGCTTTACATTTCATCACCGGACCGCCCTACACATTTGCAGGGGTCGCATTAATGCTGTAGCCTACCGTGATGATGTCTTGCAACCAATTCATGTTCTGATGTTTTGAGCGCACCCACAACTTCAGCACTTCCAACAGGATAATGCACCTCCGCATACTGCCCGTTTTAGTATGGACTACCTGGCTGCTAACAACATCAATGTCTTGGACTGGCCAGCCATGTCTCCGGACATGGCACCGATAGAACATGTCTGGGATGAGATTGGACGCCATCTGTATCGGAGACCACAGATGCACACCATTGCTGCTTTAGAAGCTGCTCTTGTCGAAGAATGGAACAATTTGCCCCAGGCCTTCTTTCAAACATTGGTAAATTCCATGCGACGTCGCTGCACAGCGTGCATAAGAGCCTGTGGACGACACACGCGCTACTGACATCTGTGTTGTACTTTTGGTTTTGACCCCTCTGACTTTGTACCATTGATTACAGATTAAACATCCATAAGTGTACAAATGTGTTGTTATTGATGTGTTCTCATTTAAATATTGTTCACAATAAGAAGCAAAATAAAAAAGATATGTGATGCGTTTTCCATGGCGCTCAGTATACATGTATCTTATTTGATCTACCAATGGGTGGGCTGAGAAGGTAGTGTCCTTGATTTTATGTAATAGTAATAATCATAGACACCTTTGTCGGCACATCAACATTTCTAACAACCTGTTATGTGGTGTGGAAAAGGGATTTGACATTTTCTGAAGATTTCACATTGTTCTGTTTGTTTTGATGTCTGAATATGAAACCCTTCATTACTGGGTGCAATACACTTTCACCATCAATTCAACATGGAGGTGCAATGCTGTTAGATATTTGCCATTTACCAGTTTTGAATACTTCTGAAAGAGTTAATTAGGCCCAACAGAATTAAGTTAGTAATATAGTAGGGAATCTTTATTTGAGATGATCAACTATGAATATAAACTGAATGAAGTCAGTCTGACAGGTCTTCTTTGGACTATGCAAGTAACTATTCAGTTAAATACAATGATGTAACAGGAAGAGGCCTGATTTTAACATAGAAGTGATTGGGAAAATTGTATAAAAAGAGTTGCTAAATTCTGACATCAACACAGAATTTGAACAGATTTAACAGAAGAAAAGATAGGTTGCCAGGCAACGAAACATACGCCCACAGCAGCTAAATCGTCCGGGCAGTCAACAAGAGTTGTCGCATATTTTTACTTTTTCAGTAATGAAACATTTAATATAATACACTAAAATCTGATTAAGAGTAACAACTCATTAAGTAATTATTAGAAAATCATTAGAATTTGTTAGGTTTTTATAAATTTTTACCCCATGCTAACATTTAGTACACGAAATATTTAATATCATGGATTTAGCCGTTCAAGTTATCAAAATTCGTTGAAAATCAATATACTTGTTCATTTCAAGACCTTAAAAACTCTACGTATCAATCTGAAGTCAATCGGATGATAACGTAAGCCTCTAGAGCATCACAAGATTTTTCAAAGTGATCAAGGGCCATAACTTTGGCAGTAATTATGGGAAATTGTTGAAAATCAATAGGATTCTTCGCCTCATGACCTCAAATACTGCGTATAAATTTAAATTCTGGCAGTAATTATACGAAATCGCTGAAAATCAATAGGATTCTTCGTCTCATGACCTTAAACACTGTGTATAAAGTCAATTGAATATTATCTTTCGCCTCTAGAGCATCCACAAGATTTTTCAAAGTGATCAAGGGCCATAACTCTGGCAGTAATTATCGGAAATTGCTGAAAATCAATAGGCTTTTTTGTCTCATGACCTTAAACCCTGTGTTTAAATTTAAAGTCAATCGGATATTAACTTTAGCCTCTAGAGCGTCCAGAACCAATTGTGGACGACGGACGGGGGTGACGACAATATACAACCACATTTCAATGTGGGCGTACAAAAGCAAACATGAGATGCTCTATACTGAACACTGGGTAAAGAGCCAGTTGCAAGGGTCGCGATTAGTTAACTGAACAGTCGATCTTTATTTTCAAGTCCATCTAACTTCCGTTGTATCTATGACAGATTAGGTAATTAAGAAAAAGTCGGACGGCAATCCCTTATCCATCAAATAATTCACTGCTGTCAGTTATGGGCATGGCCAGTTAAAAAAATGTGATACATTAAGAGCCATTCCACAAGAAAACCATGCAATATCAGACAGATGTTAGAAGGTGGGGGTCGGCCAATTGAGTTCATACTCACAGGGTTTGGTCGATCCATCGAGCCTACTCCCCAGCCAAAATCGTCGATTTCAGAAATCAATCGTTTCCGAGATACAGGCTGATTACGTTTTTCGGCTGATTTTTGTCATTTTAGGCCAAATTTTAGCTATTTTTGTCACACTACAACCGCTGTTGCATGACCCTGGCGAACTAGGTTTTGATTGTTTGTGATAGTCGGGGTCTTACCCTATCGCATTATCATGGTCACCTGGTTCAAGTTCATTTTCCATAGGTGTGATAGTCGGGGTCTTACCCTATCGCATTATCATGGTCACCCGGTTCAAGTTCATTTTCCATAGGTGTCAGGAGACTACACAAGATACGTGTCTGTACCCTATCTTCAGATCGCGATAACTCCACTAGGGCAGGGTTTGCGATAAAAATTAAAATCAATTTATTTGCAGCTTGACCAGTTCTAACCACATAAGAAATTATAAAATCGTTGTCAGCTAACTTGCAAAAGTATGAAAATTCGTGTCGAAAGTTACCAACCAGCGGCTGCAAGGCAGGAAACGCCCACATTTTTGAGAGATGGATAGAGAACAAGTAAGGGTGATGATTTTCCGTGATTGCAGAAAAGAAAAAATGTGGAAATCGCGGAATTGTCCACTCAAAACGGAATTTGAAATCTCACACGGAAAAAGACGGAAAAACCGATATTTGCTGATACTAAACACAAACTCAAAACAATTTTGCAATTATCCAAGTATTTCATCTTTTTATTCATAAAAATCGGAAATATTGAATGATATCGCGTGGTTTTGTTACTGTCTATTTTAGTATTTAGCTACTTTCATTTCATCATTTAGGTATCATAATTTTACTCGAAACGAAAACCCGTCTTTCATATATCCCTGTATACAATTACTCTGTAAAAACACAACACAACTTTATGGATAACAATCACTAGGAACTTTAATAGTGCAACGTTTCAACAAGTGTCCTCTTGTCGTTATCAAGCACAGGGTAAAAAACGATAATATGATACAAAAACCTGGGAGTAAGCATTTAAGTATAAAAATTTAGAAGAAGCCACAAATAATAAATATTCTGTTTAAATATAAAAAATCAAAGACAAATTGGAGTTATGATTACAATACTTAATACTTAGATAATCAGGAAGCCATTACACAAACTAATTGGTTAAGATCTAGGTGGTTAAAGAAAACATATTTAGTATAAGCTAGAAAAAACATGGGCTTCATTTTAACACATAGCTAATTAATTATGGCAAAGGTATTGTGAATATCAAATAATAAAAACCAAAAAAAGATTCCCCCCCCCCCACCAAAACACAAGGCATTTGACTACAATTTGTGAGTTCACTTAGGCACAGTTAGTGAATTAAAATGTCATATGCTCTATGAATATGAAGTCCATCGTCGCAGTTTAATTTGGGCTGGTGTCTCTTAATGTGCACTGCTTCTGAAAGTTTACGTACTTTTTTGTTGTGTATGTTGCAGTCTAAGATTTTAACACTATCCCAGTTAACTTTATGACGCGGGTTGTCTCTGAGGTGTTGAGCCACAGCAGATGTGTTATTAGATGACTTAGCTTGATGTTCTAAAGGCCTTTTAGTTTCTCCAATGTAAGTTGATGAGCAGGAGCAGGTTATTTAATATACATATCCTTTTGTTTGGTTTGAGTTTGTTGAGGCTGATTTCCCGTTAGCTTTTAAGATTCCCTTTAGTGTTTCCCCATATTTAAAACCAGTTTCTATTCCAGCTTGTCTCAAGAGTCATCGGATATGGTAGGAAGTTTTGCCTATAAATGGTATACTAACATGTATTTCACATGTATTTCAGGTTTATCAGGTCTCTGCTTAGCTGTTGGTTTTGTTGGATGGAGAACTGATTGGATTACTCTTTTTACTAGCGATTGTGGATATTTATTCAGGAGACACAAGGATTCTTGAATTTGGTTGAGTTCTTTGTCTAAAAAGGCTGGGTGACAGATGTTGGTTGCACGGGTTACTAATGTTGTTATGATGGCTGTTTTAATATTGAGGCTGTGGTTTGAGTTGAAATGGATGTACTGGTTGGTGTGCGTTGGCTTCCTGTATACTGATGTTTCAAGCTGGTTGTTATTTTTCTTAATATCAACATCTAAAAATGGTATCCCTAGGTCTGTTTCTGTTTCCATAGAGAATTTGATATGGGGGTGTTGGCTGTTTAGGTAGTTTAGAAGAATTGTAGGATCTTCGTCTGGCTTGAGGATGACTAGTGTGTTGTCCACTTTTCTGTACCAATTAGAGGGTGTTATAGGAGCTGTAGCTAGCACTCTTTCTTCAAAAGCTGTCATGTAGATTTCACTCATAAGAGGTGACAAAGGGCTACCCATTGGGAGACCTCGCACTTGTTCATAGGTGTCTAATTCCCAGGTAAAATAGGTAGAGTTAAGGCATTCTGCTACTAATTTGGTGTTGCTTTCTGTAGTAAGACTGGTGTCAAGTGGCGTGTCCAGTTGATCCAACCTGGTTTTTAGTATCTTTATAGCTTCATCTCTCGGAATGTTAGTGAAGAGGTCAACAATGTCATAGGATATAATTTTCCCAGGGTGATCTATTTCTCTGATTTTACTGCAGAATTCGTTGGAGTTTTTGATGAAGGAGTCTGCCGTTTTCCCTAGAGGTGCCAGTAGTTTTGATAAGTGTTGAGCCACTTTGTAAAACACAGAATCTATGGAGCATATCAATAGTCGAGCTTTTATTGGATCTTTGTGTATTTTTATGGTTGCACGTGCGTATGGGGGTCTGGGGTGGCTTGGCTTGAGTTGGTAGAACAGGCTGTTGGTTATATGGTTTGATTCCTTAAGTTCCTTGATTAGTTTTGTTAGATTGGTTTCAAGATTTTTGGTGGTGTCTTTTCGCAATCTGCGATAGATGGAGGTGTCGTTAAGGAGATTGTTGACAGTACTGTGATATTCATCTGTGTTTAACAGGACGGCGACTTTTCCTTTATCGGCGGGCACTATGGTTATGGACTTGTCCTTCTTGAGTTCATCCATGGCTTTTCTTTCAGAGCGGCATAGGTTGCTGACTTGTGGTTTGGCTTTAGCAAGTGTGTTGGCTATTTGATGTCTAAGATAATCTGTTTTCCGCCTGGCGCAAGCTGTCGTAAGCCCTTCTCTATCCCGGTTATAAAAGTGTCATGATTCTTGGTTGTCACTGTAGGAATGAATTTGAGACCCTTGGACAGAAGATTTATCTGATCGTCTGTGAGCTCCTTACTGCTAATATTGTAGACAGTTTTAGTAAGATATTCGTTTTGAAGATTGGTATCATTATTGTTGGTAGGTTTAATGGTATTTCTTTTCAAGCTAATTAATTTATTAAACTTCTTTACTTGTTTAGTTTTGATCTGGTTTTGTAAGTTGGATTTGGTAGTGGTGAGTTTGGTGATAAAGGACTGATAATCTCTCTCATGCAAAGATGATTGAATTTGTTGGTGCAGTTCTTGGATTTGTATGTTAATACAATGTTTTTCGTTCCTGTAAAACTGGATACGTTCTCGAACTAAGCACTTGCTGGCATAACTAGTAATTTTCTTTGCCGCAATTGTGCAAACTGAAGATTTTAGCCACAGTCCTTTAGGTATGATATCATTGTCTCTACATCTAAGAAGAAAGGTTAGGTTATTACTTACACGTTAAGTGATAAACCTATATTTCAAGTTTCAACAAAATCGGATAAAAATTGTGACCTCTACAGTGTTCACAAGCTAAAAACGTGATTTTTCGTACTATCAGGGGCCATAATCCATGAAGTTACAGTTCGATACATGCCAATATCAAAAGGAACCAAGATCTTAGGGTGATAAACCTATATTTCAAGTTTCATTGAAATCAGATAAAAATTGTGACCTGTAAACTGTTCACAAACAATTGTGGACGGACGGACAGGGGCGACGACAATATACGTCCACATGAAAATGTGGGCGTATAAAAATCGAAGAAATATAGGCCAGATTGCCTTGAAATTTTGTTTCTGTACTAGCTGAGGAATTCCTGATGCATACACAAAATATGAAGTCTATCGATACAACTGGAAGTGCCACCATCTTGAAACGTGAAAAGTCCCTAAGGCTTTTTTGATATTTTACTTACAGACAAGGAAATTATATTTTCTGAATCCTTGAAGGAAAGCCCATATAATGTAGAGCTTAGAATTTTGATTTCTGGCAAATGATGGACACTATTTTGAATTGAAAATGGAAAATAGTGGAAAATCCACATTAATGGGCTTGAAAACATACACAATAGGTCGTGGTTTAGAGAATCCGTCTCCTATTACCGAAATTATTACATTTCTGGATAGCCCGGTTCAGGCACGAATGTTTGGTATTTCAAGATTTCAAAATTTCAAATTTCCACTTTGACGTTTTTCTTGCCGACAAAGTTGTTTACAGGACAATTTCTTTCTTATGATTCTATCAAGCTTATATCCAAGAGTCTAATCTTTGGGTCTTTCTAAATCTTTAACCTGTCTCCCAGAATGGATGTTGACTTTTGAATACATATTTTCGAAACGCTTTACAAATCCGAAATCACCAAATGTTAATGACGAGAGAATTAACCTACATAGCTGTAACTTTGGGAATATTTCACCTATTTTACACATTCATATTTGTTTGGGTAATTTGAAACGTTTACTTTAAATCTGCTATTTACGAACTTCAAAAATTACGTCATTGACATACATACATATTTTCGAACCGCTTTACAAATCCGAAATCACCAAATGTTAATGACGAAAGAATTAACCTAGATAGCTGTAACTTTGGGAATATTTCACCTATTTTACATATTCATATTTCTTTGGCTACTTTGAAACATTTACTTTAAATCTGCTATTTCCGAACTTCAAAAAATACGTCATTGACATATTATTTTGGAAGTAAAAACAAATATGACAACTTCTTTAATATTAGCACGATTTTCATGAAATTTATTTAACTTAAAGGGCCAATCCCGATAATTTTTTTGAGAATAAAACTGCTTAATTTTGTGTTAAAATCCCTTAAAATTGTCTACCTAAGGGCCGAGCAACTAACTCAATATTTGTGATACGTTTTCAAACAACTTAAACCCGTCAGTCTTCATCTGGAAATGGAGACCGGTGTCTCAAAATGTATTAGGCGGTATCTGGATAAAATAAGACTTTTTTTTATAAAAAATAATGTGTTGGTGAAATTTACCTTTCGTTATCAAGTACAGCACGTAAGGTGTGCACTGTATAGACCTCTCAAGGAACGGGAATCGATCATAAAGTCACCCAGCGAAAAAATTGACCCGAATTCTTAAAAGGGCTACGTGCTCGGATAAGCAGTTTTGACGTTCAAGTCCAAACGACTCAATATTTTGAGCTGAAATTTTGAGACAAGGTAAATACGCCACTCCTCTATATTTTGGCGCTTAAATTTCATACGTACTCGGACATTCATTTTTAAGTCTCTGTTCAAATCGGGATAGTCCCTTTAAACAATGTTTTTAGAAATTTTTAACTTATCTCCCCTCCGAGAAATGAGGGATCAAAGCACGATTTTCATGATATTTGGAATGAAAGTAAATTGATTCATTTAACTGGACAAAGCTGTTTACGAGTGAAAAATCTGCATTAACAGCTTGGAAATACTCGGAATAAGCCGCCGTTTCCTGAGTTGGTTTCCTATTTTCGAAGGTTGATTGCATGACATTTTTTTTATGTTAATTTTTAATACTTACAAACTTGATCTAAATATTCGAATAGCTGAGATCAATCCGATTCCAAAAAATATAAGATTCATTACAAGTTATCTCAGTTTATTGTTCGATATTTTCTCGGCATTTTTCCAACCATTTTCTACTCATTTTCTGAAGCTTCTGGGTTTTAAACGACTTGATCGATTTTTTGCAACAGAAAGTAAATCTGATTCCAGCAATACGGTCTCAGCAATATCTTTTTATTTTTAGATTACCTTTTGGCCAGGGGTAATGGTTCTCGTTATATTTTAGCAGTCTACTGTAAAACATGAAATTATTGCGAGCGTGAAATTATTGCGAAAATTGCGAGCTAGGTTCTCTCACAATAATTTCATGTTCGCAATAATTTCGTGAAAATTCGTTAAAATGTCGGCCATATTGAATTACCCCCCCCTTTCATTACTCTTCACAAGAAAGAGTCCCAATAAGTACAGTAGAATCTGTATGAGCAGCCACTCCTATTCAGTGACATCTCCTTGTAAGCGGTCATGATAAATTCCCCCCGTAAAAATTCTATTGTTTCATCTCTTTATTCAACGGTCACTCCTCTAACGCGGCCAGCAGTCACTATTTTACAAATAAATTCAACAAAACATCGCCCATTCAACGGCCATTGTTGAATGTTACCATCTTGTCGTTCTTTGTAACACCCCCGCTAATCCTGTGAGTAGTAGTTAATTAACTGGACCCCCACTGGCACTGATCAGGTAAAAAGAAATGTAACCCGGGATGTAACAATCAACCCGGGATTATCTATTAATTAATCTTTGTTTTATTAAACAACTAACCTGGTCATTGTTTTCACGTGTAACCACACATTATTTGATACTGATTGAATAAAATAAAAGTACCATGTTTTGTCACGATCATCTAGTATCTCTTTTCCATTGCCACTTTATTGTTAAACAGACGTTTTAGCGCCTCCGATAATATTACATACAGAGTTACATCCCCTGTAAATAGGAGATAAAATAAGCGATGTTTTTTTGTTCATGTGCTTTTTTGATAAAATAAAATTAATTCATGGATTTTCTTCACAAAAATGGATAAATATTATTGAATGCATCACAATGGTAGACAGTAGTATCGAAGGTTGGTACAAAATGACAAGTTTACACTATTTGCTGTTACTAATGATCACCAATCAACCGATGTTTTAAAAAGCCGACTGTCACCTCAAGGCTATAATCCTCAATAGTTGTTTATTTACTGTTACTAATGATCACCAATCAACCGATGTTTTAAAAAGCCGACTGTCACCTCAAGGCTATAATCCTCAATAGTTGTTTATTTACTGTTACTAATGATCACCAATCAACCGATGTTTTGAAGAGCCGACTGTCACCTCAAAATTAACAATCTACCATATTTTATAGACAATTATTTACTAAAAAAAATTATTTAAATTCGCAATAATTTCATGTCGCAATAATTTTTCCCCACTATAGAAATTCACAAAAATTTCATGTCGCAATTATAATTCACCACCCGAACTCGCAATAATTTCATGTCGCAATAATTTCATGTTTTACAGTAGGCCTATTAGTTGACTCGACTTCACTCTTCAGCCCGTTTCAATACTTACGTTAAATCTTTGCAAGCTAAAATTTAAAACATAAACAGATATCCAGATCATAAAGCCATCGCCATTAATTATGTTGATAATTCACCATTTAACCTAATTCAAGTGGTCTGGGGATATTAGACTGAACCTCGTAAGTGTTGTAATCTGGTGGGGGAAAAGTAAATCTCCGACATAAGAATAAGACCTATTCAATATGTTATATTCGAACAGTTTATGACAATTTTGGGGTTTCATGTTTGCGCAATTTTGTCCATAGCATGGTTTTGATTTTGTCTGATATATGAAAACACCTGATGTCCCAGCCACGTGACTTTATTCTAGCGCTTTGAACTATAGAAATAATGAAATGATCCGTATTTTAATCTTCTGGAGCGGGAAGTCTGTTCGATTACAGCAATACAAGTCTGAATTATTTCCCTTTATTTTCCAAATTTTTTTTACCAATGTGCAATGTTACTCACTATAATATATGCATAAATATCAGCATTTTCCTGCGTCGTTTCGCCTTGTTAGTGGTACAGAACGGAGGCCCTGACAAGAAAAGCTGTCTAATAGTTCAGATGGGCCGATCAACCCAGGACCCGTCTATAAATTGGTGTCCACGAAAAAGATCACTTGGCAGTTGGAATTCAATATAAGAGTAGGCCAAAGATCCGCTGCTCGGGCAAATTTTCCCTCATAGCATTCTGTATAACGTATGCCTGTCTTAATTAACCCAGTAGAAGCAGAACAGCAGGACGTTAAAGCGGTTAAAGCCTATTTCATTTCATATTAATAACCGTGCAATTGAGGTTGTATAATTTTCCAAATGATCATTCCACGACACACAGGGATCACAGTGGCTAAGTGGGTAAGACGCTGGCTCGCTAGCCTGGAGGTCGGGTGTTCGATCCCAGAATTGGCCGAGAAAGTTCATCCAAATTTCCCAGCGTTGATGCAGAACGGAGGCCCTGACAAGAAAAGCTGTCTAATTGTTCGGATGGGACGAAAAAAACGAGGTCCTGGGTATACATTGGCATGCACGTAAAAGATACCTTGACAGTTGGAATTCGATATAAGAGAAGGTCGTAGTGCCGCTGTCCGGGCAAATTTTCCCTAATAGCACTCAGTATAGCATATGCCCGTCTTCATTATCCCAGTTCAGAGCGGAACAGTAGGGCATTAAATCCCATTTCATTTCATTTCATTTCATTTCAACGACACAATTTACTTGTTCGAAATTTTCCTGCCATTTTTGAGTTATTTCCCGATATTTTCATTTCATTTTCTCATCAGTCCCGTTTTTCAACATCTAGATCCGTATTTTAAATTTCTGGAACGGGGAGTCAATTCAATTCGATTACAGCAATACAAGTTTCAGTTATTTCCCTTTATTTTCCAGATTTTTTTTGCCCGTGTGCACTGTATATATAACAAAGAGTTTTGATCGATTTTAATAATTCCTTTTCCTTGTTGAGATTCTTTATATAACCCATGACATGTGACAGAAACTGACCGTGAATATGAAAGCTTTAATATCTGCCTAGCAGATCTAGTTATTTTTTTTTTTTTTGTTCTTTTCCTGCAAATCTTATATCTCAGAATCTAACCTAAAGAATGCATTTGACCTACATTGCTGTAACTTTATGACTATTTGACCTATTTTACTAATTCTTTTTTTTTTTGAGTACCTTGAAACATTTACTTCAAATCTGCAATTTCGGATTTGCGAATTTTGAAAATTCGTGGCTGTGATTTCGAACTGGAAGTTAAGACCAACTTGACAACTTCTTTAATAGTTGCACGATTTTCATGAAATTTAGAATGTAAGTAGATCTTATCGATGCAACTTGAAAGATGTCATTAGAAATTTTCTAAATTATCTCCCCTTGATGAAATTAAGGATCAAAGTTTTCAAAAAAATCAACGAAATATAGGTCAGAGTGCCTTGAAATTTCTTTTCTACACTAGCTAAGAAAGGACTGATGTGTACACAAAATTTGAAGTCTGCCCATTGAACCGGAAGTGCCACCACCTTGAAAAGTGAAAATCCATAAGGCTTTTGCAGTATTTTACTTACAGTGTTACAGGCATGGGAGTTACATTTTCTGAATCCTTGAAGGAATGCCTAAAAATCTTGGATCAGAATTTTGATATCGGTCAACTGATGGTCACCATCAGGGTGCACAATTTCACTTTTGAACCACTAGCCCATGGGCAGGTGTCACTACAAAATTTGCTAGCCCTACAGAAAAATACAC